ATTAGTATCTGCACTGAGGGACAGATCCTGTCACCGTGCAGCAACGAGGGTCGATACGAACGTCATGGCGAGACCCCTCGAACGCTGGCCGAGCGTTGATTACCTCATTGTTGCTACTGAGTTGTAGAGTAAAGTCACGGTTTTTTGCATAGAAGGCGCGCGAAACAGGATGTCGAATTGGAACACTACGATTGCGGAAATCGGCTTAATAGCCAGTTGCTGAACATTCAGCTATTACCGATCTCACCGCGTTTGTATCCTTTTTTCTATTGTCCTCCTTTCTATCCCTCCCAAAACTCCCAAAAAAGTCATCAACTGATGAGCAAAGTAGGTGAACGTTACTTAAGCAGAAAAGAGTTTAATGTTGAATTAAGTAATAGATACAATTAAGGAAGTATTGCACACATTTTCAAAATAATGAACAAATTACAGATTAAATCTTAGTGCTTAAAAGTAATATAAAAAATTTGGTGATGGTTTAGAACCTGAATCAAGAATTATTTCAGTAAGAATTAGAAGTGTTTTTATCTGTGCTGTAAATAGAAATATAATTGAGAAATAATTACAAAAGTTCCAAATTTTTTATGTGAGTACTTCAAATATTTGAAATGATTTATATGAAGTTTCAACTTGCGATGCAGAAATTTGTAGTTATTCCGCAAATAAACAAAATTTATTTGTTTATTTATAGAAAAAGTAATCTCTACAAACTTCGTACAAATCTTACATATTTAAGGCACTTATACAAAAAAATTGAGATGTCATTTGTTAAATTTTAGCATTTAACAATAAAAAATAATTAAGTAAATAAAATAATAATAATAAATAAATTTCAAGGCTAATGAGAGTAAATAAACTATAAAAATATGTTGTTAAATATAATTATATATTATATATAATTATAATTATTCACATAATTTATATATATATATATACACATATAGACTTTATTTAAAATATAAATATTAATACATTTGTGAAAATGTGTATGATACATTCTTTAATCGTATTCCTGTACGTATCTCGATATTATACATAGAAATTTTTAAACGAGATGTAATCGCACATAGATTCATCATTTAAGAAAGTCCTCAAAATGTCTCGCTTTTTACGACTCTGCTTAATTACACTTAGTAGGACACAAGATGATTTATTTCTACAGTTAGACAATTAGGCCTACACGTATATAGGCAACGACGATATTTCATTGTACTTCATTGACAATTATAATTTTAATTAACGGAAACGACGCTTGCGGTCAGTGCGGTCCTCAAGTACTCCTAGCACTTGAGACGTAAATTACGTAGCCGTTGTTGAGTCACGATGACGCTTTGACAAAAATAAATTGCAGAATCTAAGCGATTTTACATGGTGTTCAAAAAATTGACTCTGTCAATGTAAAATAACAGATCAGAGTAAAATGACAACATTCGATTTCATACGTATCAATCTGTAATAATATAATCTCGCGTGCGTGTATCAAGTGCTTTTAATATTTTATTCAAGCTATTAATTTGATTTATTTTATCACACTTTACATCTGAAGAGAGCTCAATCCTGTAGCCGAAACTTGTTTTTTTTTTTTTTTTTTAAATACATTTATACATTTATATGCGCCGCTCCGTATCGGTTCATGTATCTTCGCTTAATATTTTTAATTAATTAAATGTTTTATAACCTAATGACTCTTCTTTCGCCGTTTATTTTGTTTGTTTATTTATGTTCTATTAATTTGATTTATCATTGAAAAGATGATAAGAATAGTTATATCCGGCCTGAATTTCAGTCGTCTTTCGAGATTATCGTTCCAATTATCATGTGTCTAATAATTATCATAAGTAACACTAAAAAGTTGCCGGCCTAATCGCATGATTTATCGTATGCAGATAAATGTAATAATTAATTAAAAAATTAAGATTATTAAAGGATTATAAATTTCTGTCTGCGATATGCAGTATATGCCTACATATATTACGCGTTCACGTGAATATAAGATTAGAGAGAAAGTAGTTAATTAAAATCGTCTTATATGTTTTCTGAATAAAGGTGGGCTCGGCAATGTTTGCTCGAAAACTTGAATTCGACGACAAAAAAAGATTCTATCGTGCAGCAGCTGTTGAGATTTCCAGTTCTAGACGATCCTTAAAACCAGATGCCTCGAAACATTTCGGGCATCCTCATCTGGATACTTCGCGTGTTACAGTGAAATGAAAGAAACAAGATTCGCATCGTATAAAAAAAAGATTTATATCGTTTTTAAAATTAATTACTATTATATTTACTATTTTATATACAAGCACGTTTAACAAATCTCGCGTTTTTAGGAATAGAAGATCAATTTGAGGTCATCAATAAAAAAGTATTTACGAGTCTATTAAGCTGACACAGTCATTTTAGCACAAACACATTTCGTTCGCAATCCGTAATTTTGAAATATTGGCCTCATTTACAATCCTACTACTGTTTCACACTCATAATTAGAGAAAAAAATATAGTAATAGTCAAATTTTAACTATTAATATTACAAAATTTTATACATAAAATTAATATACACAGTTAAAATTAATGTACATAATTGAAATTTATATTTATACTTTAATTATATAAATTTTATGTAAAATGTATATAATTGTTACTTTTATAGTTACTATCATTATGTTTTTCTGAATGTAGTTATTTCAATTTCATCAAATTGTAAGCTCAATGGCACAATTATCGCTTGTATTCTTATTTTTGATGAAATAATTGTGGCAACCAAATCGAATAAAACAACAACAACAAAATTCAATTTCTGTATATTTCATACAAATATTATATTAAATCTGGCTGTGCCAGACATGCATGTTGTGCCATTAGAATAATTATAGTTCTTATTCACATTCATTGAGAAATTGAGACTTTCTTTTCAGAAAAAAGTGACACACTTTAATGCACGTTTATACGACATTAGAGATGTACAAAAACTTATAATTGTTGCAGCAATGTAAAGTTTGTAGATATACTGTAAACACTTTTTTCTTGTTTATCTAATTCAAAGCGGCATACGCGTTGATAAGAATCCCATCAGCGACATGCAAGTGTTGAATGGAATTTTTCGAATGTTCGATAAACAAACTATAAGAAAAAAAATTCTAAGAAATCATGCAGATTATTAAATTTTTATTAATTCGGTTTCTTGAAATATACACCAGATAAAATTTACAAAATGTCGTTGTGTCAAATAAATTTTGTACGACTTTTATGAACGTATTTATATATAATTACAACTTAATGTACAGAAATGTTAATATCGAGTTTAGCATATTTGAATATTACTGTATGTAAAATTGACAATAACTGACGAAGTTAACTCTGCTTTCCATTATTCTTAATAACACGTCAATATACGACTTTCTCTCGATGGCGCATGATGCCATAAATTGACTTGCAAATGATAAACGTGCTAGCAAGATTTACATTAAAAAATTCAAAGTCGACACACAATTTATCTGGAATGTAATATAGCCAATAAATGCTCAAAGTTTTATTATATATAAATACGAAATTGGATGTATAGAAAGTTTTGAAAGTGTTCATTGTGCAAAATTAAATTTAAAAATTCAAGATATTTTTTCGTCCGAATTGTAAAATAAAATATATAGGTAACAGTTTATCTCTTATTATAAATTTGAAGACATATTTAAATATTCTAAAAATAGACAAAATTATTCATGTTGTTTTATAAATATCTTGGTAATTTCATTATAAATATCAATAGTCCGAATATTCATACACATTATTTACAGATATATTAATTTACAGATTTTTTTTTTTTCTTTGGTGAGACTAATACGAATTTATCTAAATATATTACTATACGTAATTTATCTAAAATGCATTAATCATGAATATATAGAAATTCTGAACGCCTTTCGTATCCGTGTTGTATAGATAATTGAAACGTGTTGTTGCAAAACGCGAACACAATTGCGTGTACAATGATAAGATCGCTTTTCTCGAGTAACGAAATAGAGGAAGAGCCAATTTCGCGAGATAATCTAGTTTCGTGCTCTAAAAAATACGATATCGAGGTCGACTTCAGTGACTTCACGCGACATCGGTACCAAAAACCTTTGTCCTATCCACGCGCGTCAAAGAAAACTGCGGATATAGATGTGCGTGTGCACGCGCGTTTGCGTGCGATCCGCTCCATGTTACGTTCATTCCTTCTACATGTCAGAATAATTATATAAACGTGTATCATATACATATTTAATTGTAAGACATAACGACGTCCGGTAACACAGTGTACACAGTACCTCGGAAATCACGTACTTTCTCTTCTTTTTTTTTTGGTAGAAGACCGTGCGAGACTTCTCTCGAGAAATGTGTGACTTCGGATATACCCTATATGTTTTTTAACTCGATACAGTTACCTCATAAATATTCGCGTAAATTGCAAATTTAAATTAATAGTTTTTCGATATTTCCCTTAATAGAAACGTGGAAAACGCCAATATTTTCTGCAAAAATTTTCAAAATCCACGAATTAAAATTTTCAGTTTTCTGGGCGAATAAAAAAGCCACGTTTTAAATAAAGCTCTAGATTTATCAAAGTAGCGCATAGGTACGCTAGGTTTGCTCTAATAATCGTATCGTCGTGATTGTCGGTGTTTGCTAGGATAAGAGACTCTAGAGGCAGAGACCTCCAGTTTTAGAGACATTCCCCTGCAAGTTGGACTTACAACAGTAACTGTAATTATAATTTTCGAAATACCCAGAAAAAGTCGAAAAGTTTGAAAGAAGATTGCGTTGGACCAACATTTCAGTTACGAACAAATTTCTTTCGAATCAATCAGAATCTGTAAAGAGACTGCACGATTTTATGCTCGTATAAAGTATAATATACATCTAATCGGGAGCTGTATAAAGCAATTCGCATATTCCCGAGGAAGACCGAGGCAAGAACCAACCCGGATCCTTCGGTCTCCTACGTCATATCCGATGATAGAAACAAATACCTTCGCGTATCTGACGTCTCTTTATGGGTTGCGGCGCGCCGGTACGTCTTCTCCTCGCGTAGGTATGGACTGGCACGATCAGTCTCGGCCGCGGAATGAGGAAGCCCCCTTGAGCGTTGACGGCGACCTCGGGTGACGGCCGGTTCGCCTCCGGGCATTCGCTGTCTGTGGTACCGGTGCTGCTGGATCCCCTGGATCGCGCATCTTCCTCTCTTGCCGAGGACGGCCCGTTGTTCGGGTCCTCCAACGCGGCCTCGAATCGCGACACCACTTCATCGGCGTACGGCCGCCTGTAAGGCTCGTCGTCTTGTTGCCTGGCGGAGATCTTGCTGCCGCCGTTGCTGCTGGTCGTCCAGTTGACCCCGCACTCGCGCCAGCTGGCCTCGTAGAGCAGCTCCATGGCCCTGCCGCGCGTCGCGTCCGGATCCAGGAGGAGTTCAGGATCCTCCAGAACCGCCCGGCCCGGATAACTCCGGACCTTCATGACCTCGAAAGTCGCGTGCGAACAGAAAGCGAGGATCGAGAAACACGAGCGTCGGACCCGGCGTCGTCCACGCCGCTCTACACGGTCTACTCGGTCTCGGCGAGACTTTCGCTCGCGATTTTTCTTTTTCCGATCCTCTCGAGTCCTACTGCGCAAAGGTCAAAAGTCGAGCGCTACGTGGCGACAACGCTAGCATCGCTTTCGTTCGGTGAGGTAAGATTAATGGCAGTTCCCGCAAGTACAGACACATTCTTGATCCTCTAGTTCACCTTTCAACTGTAGGCTCGAGGTTTATCCGTTGAGATCAGTCCATGTTTATTTCTCCTTGTCTTCTTGATCCTCCTTAGCTTCGTCGATTACAAATCGCGCACGAGCAACAAAGCGATCGGCAAGCCGTAACGGTTTTCGCGAAGATGAGAATCGAAATTCACCGACCGTGCTTCATTGACATTCGGGATATGGGAAATGCGAAGTTTCCAGTTGAAATAACCGTGAAACACCCGCGGCACGAGTCTGGCGTCGGTCCAGAACAGAGATCGACGACCCACGTGAAAGAGAAGATCACTTATCTTCGGATTTTCGCATCGATCATTCGGGCAGAAATGCTATTCCTATCCGTTTCAATGATTTATGTGGCTTACTGTTCCGTTACACAAAAGTAGGCGCAAAGGTCTACCTACCGACAGACGAGGCGGCAAGACCAAGAAACAAGTTCGACGGACGTTGACGTCGGGATCCGCGTTATTCACGACCGTTCATTCGCGACTTCCGCTATCCGGTCGTCACTGGCAAACCGGCGTGCTACGAAACAACGGAAACCGAGTCATCAGCCGGACTACCGGACTCTTCTTAGTCTAAAGAACCTGTTGAGTCTTCGCGGGATTTTGCTAGTTCTCCTTGTCCTCGAGCGAACAAGATCCTTGCCTACAGGATCGGACGAGGATCAAGGATGAGAAACGTATTCGGCGAAGATGAAGAACATACCGAGGAATTTTCTCCGTGTTATTTGTAACAGTTTCGAACACGCGAAATTGTTTCTTTCGCACTTACATTGGATTTTCCCACCTGGACCTTCGACACAGATGATCGGTAAACAGCGATAAACAACGTTGAACGATGTCACGCCGCGTCACAAGTGTCTAGCTAGTAGTTATTTTTGAAAACAATGCGGGAGAAGAATCCTGTCGAAACGAGGGCACTACGAATCGCATCGCGTCTGACGCTCACTGACAGTATTCGCGACTGGTGAAAAGTATGCCCGTGAACGGCAAGCAGCACCACGAGAAACTCCCTTCCCTTGGCGAACCGCGGGAGAGTCCCCACCATGGATGTGCACTCGTGAGAGAAAGGGCAGAGGTTCTCATTTCATTTCTCACTCGCCCCCGCAATCGCTCCCATGTATGAGTGCAACGGCACTTCTTTTTACCTGCGATCGCAAAGATCCGGGTCTCGGATCTAAGAAATTAAAAGGGCCCCCCCCCCCCCCCTAACTTCATTAGCAAAAATAGATGTAATAATAAGCCGACGAAGATAAATGTAAGTTCTTGTGTAAATGTAAAATAAAAAGATACGAGGAAAGGAACGTGTAATCTAAATTATGATACACACAAATGTATTATAAATGTATTTACAGAAATGTACAAATATAATTCTTTGTATATCTATACATATTTTTTGCGCGTGTACCAATATTATTGCTTAAATTTAATACTTCATCTTTATAATGCATTTTTGCAGTAATTTAACATTTTCTTTTTTACAATCTGTATTGAATCTTTGAAAAAAATGTTGAATCAAATGAAAGTTAGAGCTTTAAGATATTTAAACACGCTTTTCTTAAATTCATAATGCAAAGCAAATCTGCGGTAAATTTCTGAAACGTCATGAAAATAAAATGACTAATAAAAATTTTCGTATATGATTAATGGAAACTCTCTCTCTCTTTCCACTTCACTGTGATGTTAAACAATAATCACAATATGTGTATATATACAGAGAATGTTCGTTGTTAATTACGTAATTACGACACGGATGAGTGATAATACTGATGATTGGATCAGTTGAGAAAGAGAGGGAAAAGCGACAAGTATTGCATTTTTACGTGAAAGTAAAACGCGGCACGTCATTCGTTACGAAATGGAATCGGCGATACCTTTTGTCCAACAGAAATCGAATTCCGGAAGAAAAAGAACTGCATTGGAGCAGAGAATAATTGTTTTTATATAAATTTAATCGATATTAGATCGTTTCGAACGTAAGGATCACTTAACGTTCAATATCTGCATTTACTAATTCGTATTATAGAACA